TTATTCATTAACTACTGTAGACACCAAATTTTTAGTGTATTTTTATTTACTGTTATTTTTATTTTTCATGCTAGTTTTTATTTACTTTTAGTCTTTTATTTTTGTTTTAAGTCATTTTAGCATAGAATTTATTTTATAAAAAAAAAAAGAGGGAAACCCGCAAGCGGGTTTCAGGCTATTTAACAAATTACTTTAAAAAAAAAAATTTTTTTTACATGCAAGCTGCGTTGAGTTGCACATGCCCATCGGAGGGCCCTAGGATGCCCAGCAAACCTCCCCTCTCATCCTCACCCTTCAGGTGAGGGTTTGAGAGTATGTGTTTGATATAAATAGAACAGAAACGCAGTTTTTAGTCATTTTACATAAGGGGGAAACCCGCAAGCGGGTTTCAGGCAGGCTATTTAACAAATTACTTAAAAAAAAAAAAAATTTACATGCAAGCTGCGTTCTTCAAAAGGGTATTTTCGTCTATTCACTCAGCTCCGTCTGTTTTGCAGATTTCTGTCCACTTTTCAGGTTAATTCAAACCACGGGGTATCGACTGGTATGATATCAAACCACAGGGGGCTTTTATGTATGATTGCTTAACCACAGGGGGCTTTTTTGTTGTTTACCCATCTTTTTATGAAAACTAGCTCTTTAAATAGTTGCTAACTATTTAGGGCTATTTTTGTACATTTCAAATTATTTCTTTTACAATTTCCTGGTCAAATGCAAATAGTTGTGGACTATTTATGGGCTCCTTTTACCACATGGGTTGTTTTTGAATTATTGATTGGAATTAAAATATTGCTGTGTCATGCCCCTTAGAACTGGTTGCTCTGTCATGTAAGTTAGTCAACACCACCTAAGGGTCTTATTAGTCAGTGAAGTGAAGTTCCTTTCCCTTTCTTTCCATCGGATAGGTAGCTAGAACTTGCTTCCCCTTTCTAATTGTCTTTCCTGCAAAATCTTCACTTTTCTACCAATTCTTCCAACAACTAATTGTCTTTCTTTTTTATTGCAGCCCAGAAAATCCTCGACATGCACGTGAAGTTTTCTTTTGCCCGAAAATTCAGCTCAGTTAAATTTCTCTTCCCCCAAAATCTATCATCCTGCAAAATCTTTAGTTTTCTACCAATCGTCCAACAACTAATTGTACTTTCTTTCGATTGCCACCGAAAAAATCCTCCACATGCATCTGAAGTTTTCTTTTGTCCTGGAAATCGGCTCACTGAAATTTCTTTTCCCCCAAAATCTGCTCACTTTAGGGATTTAGGGATGACTGCTGTACCGAGTTATCATCTATGGTACAGCTTCCAAAACTTACTATTGCCAGCCTTATATATACTTCTGTTTCCGAGTTTTGCCAGCATTCAGCCGAGCAAAGAAAACATAGGTACGCTTTTATATTCTCTCCTCCTATTTTGACTGGAATTTTTTTTTAATGTTCCTACCTTCTGTTTGTATTGTCTTCCGTTAATTAAAGGCTGTTATGTGTTTGATGTTATGCATAAAAGAATATAATTATGATGATAATTCTTTGGATTAACTTATCTTTGTTTTTTCTTCTATTTTTTAATTTCAAGGGTTACCCAACTTTTAAGAGGTGCCCTACTGTGAAGGCTGAAACTGGGTGAAAGAGTCCAAATATCTGCGGATCCCCAAGAATGTAGTGGATGGAATACAAGCAGCATAACGCAACAGATGCATTAGCAAGGTTAGCTGTGTATTTCCTAGCAAAGTGGGAGTTGATGAACATTGACCTGTTGGCTCTAGAAGTGAAATGTGATTATTTAAAATTTGAAACATATGTGTGGATGATCAACATTTGACCAACCATGTCGATATGTAGCGTCGTGTACTCGGTTATCAAAGAAGCAAGTTTTGAACTATAGTAGCCGTTTGTGTTCCACCAATGTTTTATTGCTCTATGAGTGTTTGAAATTTTGCCGTCTACCTGAGTTATACGCAACAAAAGAAGTGCTGGGAGCATTTGCAGTTTTTGTATTTGCCGAGAACTTGCCATCTTTTCATCTCATTTGCGGAAGAAAACTTAAGCCAAAGATGACATCTTACCGTCGCAAGTGTTTTCATTTTACCACCGTTGTATTCATTTTTTAGTTCGGTTGGTGCTATTTTCTGCTGATTAAAAATAAATATTGCTCCACTTTGATGAGAGGTTGTATTGGTGACAACTGAGAGGCGCGAGAGAGAGCTCACTACTGTGTGTATGGTTTTGCATGGTAAAATGTGGGCGCGGGTGGGCGGGGCGCAACAACGTCCAGTAGTAAAGTAGTGCCACTTGAGGGTCCGTCTGTTTGCTTGTAAAATAATTTCCCAAGAAAATCTTTTCGCTGAAAATCATTTTCTTGAAAAATTCGCATTCTAATATAATTATCAGTTAGTATCTCTCTACTACTACTATAGACAATCCATGTTAAACACCACAATCAATTTGAGAGTCAAAAAACGGTAAAAAAAAAAAAATCTTTTTAAAGCATTCATAGAAAATTCTATGAACAATTGAATAAGATGATGTAACCAACAATACTGTTGATTTAGATTCACTGAAACCTTTTGCAGAAGTTTGGTTTCCATTGGATAGAGTAAAACCTTTTTTCTAGAAAAAAATTTTTTGGACGCTTTTTCAACCAAACATTAGAAAAAAGGGAAAACATTTTTTTGAAAAAATTTTCCATCGATACAAATAGACCCTAAGCAAGCATGTTTTGATAGAAAATTATTTAAAATAATTTTTTTAAAAATCATTATTTTTTTAATATGATGTACGTTAAATAAAAAAATAATTTTGAACTCGTGTCCTAGGATGGAGAAAAATATTTTTTAATATCATTATCTCTAATATTATTTACCTCTTGAACCTTAGCAAATTATCCTCATTGTTACAGATTTAGTTGCTCTTGAACCTTAGCAAATTATCCTCATTGTTACAGACTTAGTTGATCATATCAGTGGGTGGGCCGTTGCGTAGCACGGCCAGAACCATACTAGTTTCTCTATAATTGCCGTGCTTTTTCTCTAATATTTTTAAAAACTCGAAACATAATTCATCATGTCCGTTCCTGTATATATCTTCTTTTTCGCAGTCTACAGCCAAAATTTTATACACCAGATCAATACTATAATTCAAGTTAATAATAATTTCGTTAAAAGTGACAACGATGGAAAATCAATGAAAATCGCAATAGCCAACAAAAAAGGTTGCACCATAGCGTGTAACGTGTTACGTATCTGATTGTATGGATAGCAAATAGTCACTTAATTTGAGGGTTCACCGCCATATTGTCTGTCTGCCACTTCATATCTGCAAAGCAACATCGATGATTTTTTTTTGGGGTATTAATATAACCAAAATAGTTAAAACACATCACTTAATAGTATATGTGCATATGTATAGCAAAAAACCTCTAAAAAAAGTTCTGTCAAAACCTTCTAAAATCTACAATAGTGAAGAAATTAACAAATCAATGCATTGTATGCATTAAAATCGTTTAACAGAAATATATTTGACATGTATAAAAATATGCGAGAGAATAGGCAATAAGCATATCTGATTCTTGAGATCAGCATAAAATCTATATAAAATTGCCTTTAAAACAATCACAATTCTCACTAGTCTATCGTAATTTTTCTCGTGCTCATCTCAACTAATACAATATTAAAACATATATATATACATATATATATATATAGTCCATATGGCTTGGTAATTAAGAAATTAATAAGACAATAAATTACTAAATAATTTCTCTATACCTTAAACAAGTAAATTACTAAAATTTGAATATACTTGAAAAACTTCTAAACAGAAATATGAAATATTAACTATTAGGAAGTTTGGTTCAATGATCAAATTTTACCCATTCGGGCATTGTGAAAGTGTCTTTGCCCATGTACGGATCTCGATTAACTTCCATGACCTTTATTTATTTCAACTCTTTCAAGAAGGGCCAGAAGGTGTAATCACTAATCACCGGTACTTAGATGAAAATGCACGTGAGTGACGTTAAATCCTGAATATCCATCCTTCATTCCGTAAAGTTGCAAACGAGTCGAATCGTGTCGAATTTAGATCTAATTAAACCGAATCTCAATATAATTTTACGAATCTCGAACTTGACGAATTCAAAATGTCAAATTCGAGCTCAAGTTTGATATTAAAAAAAATAAAAATAATTATTTTATTTTTAAAAATAAATAAAATAATATTTTTTAATAAGTAATAAAATATTAGGAATATATAACTCTTTCAAGAAGGGCCAGAAGGTGTAATCACTAATCACCGGTACTTAGATGAAAATGCACGTGAGTGACGTCAAATGCTGAATATCTATCCTTCATTTCGTAAGGTTACAAACGAGTCGAATCGTGTCGAGTTTAAATCTAATTAAACCGAATCTCAATATAACTTTACGAATATCGAACTTGACGAATTCAAAATGTCAAATTTGAGCTCAAGTTTGATATTAAAAAAATAAAAATAATTATTTTATTTTTAAAAATAAATAAAATAATATTTTTTAATAAGTAATAAAAATTAGGAATATATATATATATATATATATATATGTAATTTTACTATTAAAATAAAAAATTATAATCAAACTCGAATCGGCTTCTGAGCTATACTAGTGAGTGTGTTTGGATTGAGATAATTTGAAAAACAATACTGTAAAAATATCTCTAATAATTCACAATCCAAACAGACCCTATAATTTGCCTCACAAATTTCAATCACCTTTTAATTTCACATACATCACATCACAAAAAGTGCTATAGTAATTATCTCAAATAAATCATCCAAACAAACTCTAAATAAGCAGACAATAATATTTTTTAATTCAAGTTCAACTTAATCAGTTTAAATTCAACTCGAGTTCGACATTAATCGAGTTGAAGTTGAGTTCGGACTCCTGCTCGCGATCGGTTAGATTCGTTTGCAGCCAGCCCTACCCATCCAGCGGCATTAACCTCCCAAAACCGCTCTGCCCTTCCTTTTTCTTCTTGGCCTCTTTCCTTTTCTCCTCGGACACAAAACAAACGCACGCACAGTACAAATGCACCTCTCTCTCAGTTCCGCTGTGTACAATTTTCCAGCAGAAAATTTTGCACTAACACCTTGTGAAAAACCTGCATTTTCTCTCCTGAAATACTACTTACTCTTACCTGTTTACTGACCGATCCCCAATCAGCAATCACTCTTCCGCTATTCCTCTACTCTCTCTCCAGACACACACAATCACGCTTACCTGGACTAACTGGGAAAACTGGTTGATTGATTTCTTCATTTATTGCTTTGATTGTTTACCGATTGATAATAATGGCGCTATCAGCTTCCGACTTGCCGATGATGTATACGCTTCTCGCAAATTCATTGAGCGGCGATCAAGGCGTGCGTAAGCCAGCCGAAGCTGCCCTAGCTCAATCCGAGAATAGACCTGGTTTCTGCTCTTGCCTTATGGTAATAAGCGTTTATATCATTCATATGTATACGTATATATTAGCAACTCCTAGGGTTTAAGAATTACCTTAATATCGCGTGTTAGTTCATATAATAGTTCAACGGTTTAATCTCAATCGTGTCGTTGTTTTGGACAAATGTAGGAAGTTATCACTGCAAAAGATATAGTGTCTCAGGTGGATATCCGGTTAATGGCATCCGTATATTTCAAAAACAGTGTTAATCGGTATTGGAGGAACAGGCGTGATTCTTTGTGAGTTTCATTTTCTATTTTCTCGAGCTTTTGAGTTCTTCATGCTTATACTGTGTACCTATAGGAAATATGTTTGTATTATTAACTAGTTTGCTGTTATTATATTGACAAGCATAATAGTTGTTGTTATTGTTGTTATTTTGGCTTGAGATATTCTTGACTACTTAGACAAGAAAAGTTCGCATGTGTGGGTTGTTGTTAAACCAGAAGGTGCTTTTAGACATTTGCGATTGGCGTGTACTTGGTGCAAGGTGGTACACATTCTGAATGGTCTGCGGTTGGAGCAAGTCTTCACTGGATAAATTATTTGGGCAAATTTATTGTTGTATTAGGTTATTGTTATATTAAGTTATATGTTGCTTAAAAAATATCTTGTGTGGTTGATTGGGAATAATTTTCTCTGTTTTTGAGTTATCAGTTAGGCAAAGCAGAAAATGCAAGTATATGGGATTGAAAATGATGATGTAACTCTTTAGGATAGACACTGGTTTTGTACCATTTACTGATCCATTCTCAAGCCTGTACTCAAGATATCCAAAAGTGAGGGCTACTTGTTAAGAAGAAAAAGAACGGTATAGCTGTTGATTTAAGCTTTGAAATATTTGAAATTGTGCCAACGCTTTCTGCAATCTGAAGAGCTTTTAGATCATCCGGGCCATTCTGCTGCTTGAACATGAGGTGATTTGCATATGAAACAAGAGTGGAAATATATGCCTTTTCTCACCACGTTGTTTTATATTCTGCAATAGCTATATTATTACCGCACTAAGGATTAAAAAAAAAACTGAGCCATAATTGGGTTGTTAATGAAGCAAGAAAGGATGCAACATTTTCTCTCATGTGTGTTTTCATGATGGTAACTGGATTTGTACTTACCTTCTGATTGGGTCAGGGAAGAGGGACTAAGATTCAGTCCTTCACTTGATTTTAGATGCAATGGTACAATTTATTCCTGCCACCCCTTTCATTTAAACTTCATTCTATGTTGTTGGCACAGACAGACATTTGCTGCTTTCTGAGATACTGTCTGTTGTTTATTCTTGGCAGGGGAATTAGCAATGAGGAGAAGATTCATTTGCGGCAGAAACTGTTATCACACTTGAGAGAAGAAAATGATCAGGTCCTATTTTTTTTCAGTTTGTATGCATCATATCTATCTTATCTAGATGTCTAAACTAAATCACTTTCGATTTAATTTTTTGTGGAATTCTGGAAATAATATATTGTGCTCCCTAATTTCTGGCATTTGCAGTTGTTTAAAGCCATTTCTGTCTGATTTCATTGATTACTTACTTGATTTGGTTGAGTACAGATTGCTCTTACCTTGGCAGTGCTTATTTCGAAAATTGCTCGGATTGACTACCCAAAAGATTGGTAAAATCTATGCTCCTGATATAACTCTTTTCTTAGGTCCACTATATGTTTAGAAATTCTGAGCAAAATTTGCAAGTAAGAGTATTGAAATCAATAATTGGAAGCATTGTATTGCTTTTAAGTTGTAAAGAGTTAATATTTACTAAATGTAAGAATTGTTTTGTTGCATCTGTTAGACATCATTAATTTTCTGGGCCAAAGTGGTGTCATTTTTATGGTTCTTTTACTTAGTTGATGATTGTTGAAAGACTAGCAGCTGTCCTCTAACTTTTCGGCCATGTATTAAGACATTAAATTTCTGCAATGCATCCTGGTTGCATTCTTCATTTTTACTTTTGAAATTCCTTTTATGCTTATTTTGATATTTGATTGTTGAAGAGCATAAAATATTGTCCAGGTCATCAAAAGGAGAGCTACATGGTATAAATGGACTAGTCAATCAGGGATTGTGTTGTTAGGCTGCACATTGACAAGAGGATAAGGATTGATCCGTCTTTTGTGACTGTGGAATCCTGGATGGAAGGAGAAATATAATTGCCAAAACTAGCTTTTGTCTGTTGAATGAGATTAAGCTGAGAAGTTATTTTGCTTGAATGTCATCTCATGGAGGAGTAACTACCTTGTATCAGTAAATAATTAACCTCGCGCTATAGAGGCATTGGTCTGTACATATTCAATTTGTGTAAACAAGTAATAGTCACTTTTCTTCTGAGGCTAGTGAACTGAGGTCATTGTTTCCTATGGGGATGTGTGGATAGCCTTCCTACCTTCTCATTTCTCATATGTACTAACAAAAACACAAAAAAAAAAGACAATGACAAAGAAGAAAGAAATTTTGGAATACTGATTCTGTGGGTGGATTTTTCTCCTCACAGTTGGGTATTTTACTAGCACTTATTGCACTCCAAAGTCCTTTTGTTTATTTTCTGCAATTTTTTTCATCTCTTACATTACTATCTCATAATTTCTTCTACAGGCCAGATCTCTTTTCTGTCCTAGCACAACAACTTCAATCAGCTGATATTCTTAGTTCACACAGAATTTTTATGATTCTCTTCCGATCTTTGAAGGAGTTGTCCACTAAACGTCTTACTGCAGATCAAAGAAACTTTGCTGAGGTGCAGACTACTGTTACATTTTGCCCTACACTTAGTCATTATTATTATTTTTACATTTTAATGTTAACAAAAATAGTTTTGATTGCACAATTTACTTTATCAAGGATTTGCAAGAAATTTACAAATAAATTACTTTTTTTTTCTAATCGCTTTACTATGTCTTTTAGATGACTTTTAATAAGAAGTTTATTCTATGTAATATGCTTTACTATTTCTTCTATTTGAATATGTGATACACATTAAAAATCTTGGCTCCGTTTGGATTAGCTGTTTTTGGGGTTGTTTTTTAAAAACAGCACTATTCATTTTTTGAAAAACACTCAATGTTGTTTGGATTAGTTGTTTTTCAAAAACAGAGTGTTATTGAAAAACAAGCGTGTATGGATTCACTGTTTTTGAAAAACAACATTTAATTTTTTTTAGGGCTGTGTTCGAAATACTGAGTGCCATTTGCACTTAAACAATTATCAATTTTTTAATACATAGACGAGACATAAGTGTACAATTTATTGGGCCTACTATCTGAACAAATAATGACAGGAGATGTTCTACTGGTGCTGATAATAGTACATCATATCGGCTATTGCTCTCCTACTTTCATTCCATTCAGCAATTCCTGCAGCCGACATATCTGGTCCTTGTGCTGCTGGCATTGGGTTGAAGGGGTTTATGTTATCTGCCAATGCTATATCTGCTTCTTCTTCGGCAAAATATGCATCATTTGGAACATACTCGCGCATGAAGTTGTGCAAGGCCATACAAGCCAGGACAATATTATTTTGCGTAGCCATCATGTAATTCTGCATAGGGCCCTTAAGTATTGGAAATCGTTTCTTCAAGACGCCAAACGTACGTTCTATAATGTTTCTTAACGATGCATGACGTTTGTTGAAAAGTATCCTCACTGCCCGCTCTTGCGCGGTTCCCCGTGCACCTTTAAATGGAGCCATAAATCCTGTCATATTCTGGTAAGCTGCGTCCACCGCATAATACTTCCCTGGCATAATGAAATTATATTTATATAAACTTTGAAGACGCATTGCGGAAAGGAATTATGTGATTTAATCTGGACTAACCTGCTGGTGGCCACGGAAATGCACAATTAGGATCTTGTATGACTTCTTGTAAGATTCTAGAATCATGTGCGCTACCCTCCCACCCTACCCTGACATAAGTAAATCTCATGTTGTGATCACACACGGCTAGAACGTTTTGTGATAAGCTACCATGCCGGTTCCGGTAACGTTCCCTGTCTTCGGCTGTACACCAGGCCGAAACATGTGTTCCGTCAATCGCTCCAACGCAATCCTAATAAAAAAAAAAATTCTAGACATAAGTTGGTCACAGCTGTTAGACAAAATGAAATAGTAATTTGACATAGTAGCTCATAACCTTAAACCAGGGCCAAAACAAAGCACTGTTCTGTATTCTTGGATGGGTTGTGTGATAATCTACCGGTCGGACCAGGTCGCGTCCCAATCGAACGAGAGATCTAAGGCAGCGTCGTAGATGGCGGTCCGTTGTCTCGGGAGAATGTTGGAATCTCTCGGCAAGCACCCTATGTCGCTCATTATGGCTCAAACACAGCAGGCATATAGCAACGGACTCATGAATCCCCACCCGTTGTGTCGGGTGGGGCACCCAATAGCCCCTCTGAACCAACAAGTCACACAATTGGAGGAAAAGGGGAGCTTCCATTCGAAGGTTGTCGAATATTCTGTCTCGATGGCCGTTTATCAGCTCGATAACATATTGAGGACCTGACTGTGCACTATCTCGAATTCTTCGCCGCTGGCCCGAGTTGATGTACGGGTCGAATAAGGCCAATCCAGCAAGAATAAAGGCAGCGAAGGCCAACATGAGCTCCTCGTCGTCCGAGTCATCAGATGAGTTCCCACCATTCACATAACCATCATACTCCATTTCGTTCAATCTGTGCGACTGCATTGGACGTGAATCTGAAAAAAAAAAAGGAAAACAGAGATATCATTCAAAGCCAATCTTAATTTGCCAAAACAGAGTAGGAAATATAAAATTCAACATATACATGGACCAAAATTGAACAAAAACCTATTGGCCAACAAATTTATAGCCAAGAGGATAAGTTCTTGGTTTGTAAGACAAGAGGATTGGTTTGTAAGCCAAGAGGATAAGTTCTTGAAATATATAGGCTATTCGATTGGTTTGTAAGACAATACGATAAGTTCTTGAAATAGCCTAGAGCCTTCGCCAACCAATTTATAGCCAACAAGTTGAGGAATCCAGTAGAAGTTTTGCATCGTACTTCATAAAAAGAATCTTACATCTTCTTCAAGCAAGTCACGTATTCTTGAAAGAATTGTCCAAGTAAGACATATTCTTCAAAATAGTTGTTGAAGTAAGTCATATTCCCTACTTAATACTTGCTCTAAAAATGATCATCATACCTAAAAGCACCTATTTTCCTTCCAAAAGTTGCTTTTTTCTTGTCCCTTACTTCAATTTTGAATAAGTCTTTGTTGAAATGGACTTTTGTTGAAATGGACATCCATTTCAGCGGATGTTGAGATAAGTCTTTGAAATGGACATCCATTTCAGCGGATGTTGAAATTGATCTGCCAATTAGTTGTTGAAAGACTTTTGTTGAATAAGTCTTTGTTGAAATGGACATCCATTTCAGCGGATGTTGAGAGGAATTTCAGGCCAAGATAGATAGATCATCTTTGTTAAAGTAAGTAAGGAATTTTCTTTATTCTTTATTAAGATAGATCATCTTTATTCTTTATTCTTTATTCTATCTTTGTTAAGATAGATAGATAGATAGATTATTCTTTATTCGAAAATTCAGGCCAAGTAAGGAATTTTGTCCCTTACTTGAATTACTTCATATAATTCTTGAAGTAAGTCGCACAATTGAGCTGCGTGGATGAAATTAGACATATTCTTGAAATAAGTGACACATATTCTTTACTATATAAACTGTACGCCAAGTAAGGAACGTTATCCGTTACATCTTTCTTATTATCCAACTCTTACAATTTTTCTGAACCTACTATTCCTGACATTCCAACAACAAACATAGCAATAAGTAAGGAAAAAACTGCCCTACGTATTCCTGACATTCCAACAACCTGCATGGATGAAACTATCACTCTTAATAAGTATCACTCGAAACAGACATAGCAATAGCCCAACCAGTACATTTCCTAAAAAAAAAAATGCGATCCAACAACAGTCATATCACCATGATTTGTTATATCCAACCTAATAGAAACGAACACAAACCAGTTTTAAATGAAACAAAAAAAAATCTTCAATCCGCAAACCAATTCTTAAACAAAGGCATCATGAATTTAATTACTCAACATTCATCCGCAACACAACAACTCAACAAACCAGTATTCATCCGCAAATTCAAATATACAAACCACAACACTCAGAAAGGATAAAGTCCAAGTTCCGGTAGCAAATGCTACACCTAACAGATCTCAAATACAAACAAACATTAGGCAACAACTCAAGTTTCAAATAAATGCTCCTGATGAACAACGAAAGCACCTAAAAGGGGGGTGGGGGAGGGGGCTCCTGAGAGTCAGGGGGGAAACAGCCTTTTAGCTTCATCCAAGTGATGCGGTCGGCGTCACTTGCAGCTAAATTCCAAACATCCAGCTCTTGTTTATCCTTCAATATCTCAGCTGCCTTGTATTTGGCCATGAAATTGACGTTCTCAATAAGTTTAAGTTGATCCATGGCAATTTCATAGTCGGTTTTCTTCGATGGATCGCGGCCAGAACGATTCTTGTCCGGAGAACTAACTGAGGCACTCGTGCTGGAGCTCTTCTTCCGACTAACCAGTGACTCGATGCTTTCACAGACCCTGAGATATCTATCGGTCACTGAGCCAGAAGCGGTGGACATGGGACTACAGCCAGAGCCATCACCCGACTTCCGCTTTCCTTTCCCCCCCTTTCCTTTCGCTTCTTTTGGCCCCCGTACCTCAATTTCAGCTTCCTCGTCCCTGCTGGACCTTGATCCCTTTCCCCGTGCAAGCCGGGCAGTAGTCTCCATTTCTCGCTCATCGGCTGAAGTACGGAGCTCGTTCTCGAAGCCAGAACTGAAGTCTCCCGTCGCTCCTTGGTTGACGAAGACTTCCTCAAGCAAATGGTAGACGGTGCAGTCATTCCGAAATTTGCCGTATTTTGGGTTGACCTGACAAAACAAATTCAGCCAAAACAGGATTTAATGGAATATTACACGTATGAAATGACAAAACAGTTTATATAAAAAAAAAGGCACAGAAAATGTGGATACCTGCTCCATCGCGGCCCATTGGCTATCATCCATAAGCCATGTAAACTTCTGGCTATCCCAACCCATTCCCGTTCCGCGCCTCTTAAAGGAAATGTACAGCTTGGTCTCCCCGCGCAATGCATAGTACTTGCCCCTTATACTATCCTCAGTAAACGAGGTGCCGTACTGCCCGTTTAACCGGCGCTGAATTTCGGGAACCACGTAGGAACTAATATTGTCCCTAATTTCACCCTGTCTATGCATCTCAACAAGGTGGTTGGCAAACTGGATTTCGTGCTGCCTAGAGTAATTACAACGCTCCTTCTCTGGATGGCGCCTTTGTTTTCTCATCTTAATAAGCCATACACAAATCCAGTTGAAAAAAACAGATTGTAAGCAGCTTTTTAGAAAGGAAAACAGATTGTATTGCATAAGCGGCTAAATTTTATTTAAAGCCATTTAACACTTATGTGGATAACCCAAATCTGTCGGCCATTAAATACACTTCTTCTATAACCAAAAAATCATGAGGATGTAATGAGGATCAAGCCAAATCATGTATTGTAATGAGGATCAAACCAAATCTGTTAACAAAATGTAAAAAATCTAGAACTAAAAGTTAAATTGAGCACTCATCCAACATAACACTAGCAAATCAGCACTGTTCTGTATTTTGGTAATGTGAAGTTTCGCTTTAGTTCGTAAGCTCCTTAACTCTGTTTTATTCCAATTTAAAACTTCAAAGTTCTTTTCCTTCCACATTATCCATATAAAGAGCACCCAAATCCAAAAATGCACATATAACTCTTTCCCACATAAAGTCAAGCCAAGAAAGAAGACTGTTCCAGTTCAAGACAAAAGTGATCTCAAAAAACAGGTGCTGAAAGCTTCTTCTAATAGTAGACAGGATGTAAATTAATAGTTCTTTTTTTCAGAAATTTAGACCAGTTGACACATGCATTTTTCTTCTCCGAAATGCCACCACTGTCCAACCAAATGGAAAGAGCTTTCCAGGACAAGTAGAGTACTATTTCTGGTAGAGGAAGTTTTCCATATTTGTTCCTCATATATTGATTGAAACACATTGGACGATAGCTTATGGCTTAACAGTACATATACTACACATCAATATTAACATCCTGTCAGTGTTACTTTGAACAATGGAAATAGTCCCTATCATGTCCTCCTCACAGCAAGGCTCTGTTCTTAGCATGGACAGCCAATATTAACATCCTTTCGCTTTAGCAAATCAGCACTGTTCTGTATTTTGGTTATGACAAAAACGAACTAAATAACAAATGCTACCATGCATAGTGAAATCCGACAATAATATTCAAGGCAATGAGGTAAAAATGTTCGATTTTGCTGTTTCGTGGGACAGGGAAGAAGGTCCAACTTTAGAAGAGTCAGCCCCCTAACATATTATGACTAAAATGGTGTTTCAGACACATAATAATGGAAAAAAAAGTACAGGAGGTACAATGGTACCTTGTAGTAGTTAGAAAGGCACTGCCGAATATCGTTTTCCGCCCAATCAGACCTGGTTCCAAGAGATTTCTGGATCCCAATCGGCTTCAATGCTGTGTCAACAACAAGGATCGTCAACTACTAGACAACCATACTATAGAATGCACTGAACAAAGGGGAAATTGGCAAATATACCTTTGGCAGCACGGCGGGTAACAGGGGGCATGAAATCCTAGCCAGCGGCAATATAGAGCGATAAACCACCCTGTATAAGCAAATGGAGAGCAAGGAGAAGTTAGAATGCTTTATAAATTCAGTTGCTTTTGGGAAATCAAACTGCCCTAAAATTTGACTCTCGACATCTCATCGCGCAAGTTTGAAGTAATAAAATAGCTACATAAATATTTGGAACATGTAGCAACAGCCGTCGAATATTCTGTCCAGGTTTCAATCAAGAGAAAATATTATGCGACAACCGAAAGTTTCAGAAGTAAGCAAATTATAGACAACTAAGGAACTCAAATTGAGTTAACTTTCCACATCCACAAAAGAGAAAAAGAAAGTGCTAATTGAATCATCAAAGAGGGAAAAATGGTAAGCTTTTTGAAGTAGAGATCAATCTGGATACTATTCTTCTTGATTTAGTTAGAGTTATGAGTGCAATCAGATCAGTTGTCCTTAACTTGTTGAGTGCACACACAGATGACAAGAAATTGAAGAATAAAGATGAGTTCTCTACAATCACATATATACTGCTCCTGCAGATTCTCCTGAGATTAATCTAACAGGTACACAAAAAAGTGATGCAATACCACCAATATCAATCATACCTCCTATCAAAAAATTGATAGAGAATGTTGACATGACAAACAGAAGGTACCTGATGCCAAAAACAACACCTACCAAGCATCTTTACTAAGAAGAATAATAGGAAAGGTCTAAGCGTACTGAAATGGTGATTGTTGATGACTACAGCCAGTTCAGTCTAACAAAAAAGCGGTTTACAGGGTGATAATGAGACAGGTTACATGTTGGATTAAGAGGTACAATGCTCCCTTTGAACTTCTAAATCTTTGTAATCCTACATGACTTCGCATAAGTTTTACAATTTACTTGTAATCTAATAGATGAAAATGGACATTAGAGCATCTTAAGCCAAACCCAAGACTGTAACGTAAGCTTTAATTTGCATTCAGAAGAGAAAGTGAACATTTCTAGACCAAACTTAATTAAAAGTAAACACCACAAACAATTTATTGGGATTTGCTGCATGTCAAACTAGTTAGGCATTCATTGCAAGCACGACCTTCTGCAGCTAAAAATTGGTACTTTGAAGTATTCATTAATAGCTTTCTATGGAAAAATTTACATGAAATTGGTACAAGGCCGAGCTAACCACAATCACATCATATAATTTACAGTTTGGACAAGACCAGGATTTCACCTCGAAAGTTATCCAGAGAGAAAATAAGTGATATAATCTGAACGATTCTCTATTTTGGAAGGGGATAAACAAATCAAGCAATTTCCAGGATTTGTCCATTCGGTAATAAAGGTATATAATCTGAACGATTCTCAATATGATAGATTGAGTACTGGTAGGAAGTAAATCAAATTCAAAAACAATGGACTTGGTGCTGTTCCTTCCATTATTGAAATCTCAGACCAATACCAAGACCAGGACAAAGTACAGGACAAGAAAACTTTAAAAAGAGCTCCCCATCTGATATGGGAAATCGCTCCGACACAGAAAGCATGATACAGAGCTAACAAGCTCCCCTTCCCCTTCCCCCGTTTTTCACAATTCTTCGGACAAATGCATCAATTCGACTGACTATGAGAACCAGTAAAACAAGCAGAATGTAATTTACTGCGTACCATCTTAAATTAGCATCCAAGATTTCCAGGAAGGCCTGAATATAATGGATTTTACTTCAGTTATTACATACAGAAAATGATATAATCATAGGGGCGAAGGATTTGATATCTTTGTTGCTGACCTAAAGATTTCAGACACCCAACAGACTCATGTTCGTGTGATAAGCTTCCCCAAGGTCAAAACGCAACACTCCCACCCTGGTTTACCTCATATAATCAGCCCTGGAAAAGGTAAAATAAGCAGGGAAATCAGAGCTTACCTTATTCGACCTGCACAGCGAAGATGCTCTACCGTCGGTTGCTTTTTGGAGCTGAAGACCCGCCGTGGTTAAGTGTCTCAATCGTAGGAAAAGGGCTGTGATCGCGGCGTAAATGGGCTCAGATTCACGTCATTGGTTGCAGATCCGGTGAAATTTTGCAGATCTTGAATCCACTATGGTTTGCTTGTTTTTTTCAAGAGAAGCGGCTAGAATGTTTGCTTGTTTGGGAAAGTGATATGAGGGTTGAATGGGTGTCAACTGTCAACGATAGATGCAGTCCGAGAACAAGTCTTTTGGCAATTTTTGTCAAAACGACGTAGTTTTGTCATTTTTTAACTGTAGACTTTATTGTAACCAAAATACAATTAGTGGTTGTTTTTGAAAGACAAAAACAGTTTTAGCAAAAATTGACAATCCAAACGGACCACTTGTAATTAACTAAAGCATTTTGAAGAGGCGTAGTGATCTTTGAGAAAGTTAAATCACCATATCCACTTGTTGTTAGGTAGTAGAGGTTGGTATAGTGTCCTAATAGCTTGATACCTCACTCCTCTCTCTTGATATTTTGTTCACTTATCTTTGTAGAATGTAAAACATTATCTTACTGTACAGAAGCAGCTTGGAGGACACAAAATACTTGATTTGGAATAAGGTCATTAAAATATTGGAAATTAGGGTTTGTTTTGATTTGAAATTGGTAAGCTGACTTTACTAGATAACATCTACCCTTATGCAACTCTTTTAAATTTTTGGCAAGTTGCTTCAAATTGCAGTCAAGGTAGCTGTGTTGAAATCGACCTCCTTAAGAGTTTCACTAATTGCCTTTCTGAGTACAGCAGTGCTTGGCTTCAATTTATATTCTTTAGGCTTGTCTCTCTCTTTGTTCTGTACCTGAGAGTTGAGGTCTTCTGCTTAGCACATACTGACAATTTCTTCCCTGGGACTCCTTTGGGCTTGAAACAGTTTTCTGGTGCGCTTGGAATGATTTGATGTTGTTTTAAAGGGGTGGATTTGGATGGTGGACTAGATTGTTTGACTGTTTAACCTTCCTGCAGAGTTCTAGCCATTTTGAAGTCCTTTTAGATACTTATGAAAGAAAAAAAAGTGAAAAATGCAGCTCTTTTAGACTGTTTTGATCATGCCATCTGGAGCTATGCAGCTGTCGTGTGAGCTTAAACTTTATTGAAGATTTTTACTACATTTTATTGGCCATCTTCATTGTGATAGAAATCTATTTTGTTGTAGCATATGCTATTTTTGTGTGATGTGTGATGCTTTATTAATATGCTAATCTTCTACACCTCTCATGATGGTTTGGCTCGGGCAATTCTGGCCTATGTTGTAAGAGTTCGACATTTATCTTTGGCAGATATCAGCCAAGTTTTTTGATTATTGCTGGCACCTTTGGCAGAGAGATATGCAAACTATACTGCAGGGTTTCTCAGTTCTTGTTCAAAATTCCAGTCTTGGTGCTTCTGAGTTACGCCAAGATGATCTTTACCTTTCATGTGAAAGATGGTTTCTTTGTTCAAAGATAGTACGCCAATTAATAGTTTCTGGCTTTTCCAGTGATTCAAAAGTTATACAGGTAGTTGATCTAGTAATATCTATTCTTTATCAAATTCAGATTATTTAAGCCTATTATCTATTTTTGAGGTATTTGAAGACTGGCATATAATTTGACAGCATTAATTTCATTCAATTTCTTTTCAGGAGGTACGCCCGGTCAAGGATGTCTCTCCTATGATGTTGAACGCCATCCAATCAATTCTTCCATACTGTGAGTTTTCATTCTTGATGTTGATTATAGGATATTTAGTTCTTAGTTTGTTGACTTTTCTGCTTGACCTGAAAATCATCCATAGTTCCTACCAAATCAGTGCATGGGAGTCCTTGTCTCAAGCTTGTTAGGAAAACATTCTAACTATAGACTTGTTTGGCAGACAAGTTTTTTGCCAAGTTTGTCTGTTACAAGTTTTTTTAAAACTTTAGCTACAATAACCTCAAAAAACTTCTCAAAGTTTTTAAGCTATACACTTCAAAATATATTAAAAAAAACACACTTCAAAAATTTTTAAAAAAACTTCTACAGTAAGTTACAGTAAAGTTTTAGACAAACACCCAAAAAACTCTTGATCTAGAAACATTGTCAAAGGAGAAGTGGTGGGGGTCTGATCTACTAACGTGATTCTGTAATCCAAGATATCTGAATTTGATACAAGTATAAGATTGTGTTAGCTTTATTTCCCATTGTTGAAATTGAAACATATCCTCCTATGAATTCTAAAGTAGAACTTATGAGTGTATAGAGCATGGGTTCTAGAAGTATGGACTGCACACACCCGCCTAATAATTTGCATGGTTGTATTGCAAGTTTTTGCCAAGATGTGGAGATACCCTGATTTTGGTTTGACATTATCGTCTGCTTTACTTTTACATGTTTACTTGAGGGTCAGCACTTTCTTTGGATGCTCTGCTGTGCAAATTTACTTGCTCATTAAGCTTGTTGATTACTGATTTAACAAGTATAAGATTCTGTTAGCTCCATTTTCTCTGGTTAAATGTGAAACATATCCTTTTGTGAACTTCTAAACCATAACATGTGAGTGTATAGAGCGTGGCTTATTGGAAGTATTGTCTGCACACTCCTGGTAACTTGCATGGTTGCATTGTAAAAGTTTCTGCCAAAATGTGGAGATACCCTGATTTTGGTTTAACTACAGATGCATCTTTCCAGGAGCAACATCCCAAATTCTGGGACTTCTTAAAGAGGGCTTCTATCAAGTTGATGAAGATTTTAGTTGCAATTCAGCTCAGGCATCCTTACTCATTTGGCCATGAATCTGTCCTTCCTGCAGTCATGAACTTCTGTTTGAAAAAGATTATGGATCCTGAACCATATCTATTGTTGTTTGACCAATTCTTGATTCAATGTATGTCAATGGTGAAAACTGTTCTAGAATGTAAAGAATATAAACCAAGCTTGACTGGGCGTGTGATTGATGAAAATGGAGCTACACTTGAGCAAGTGAAGAAAAAAGTTTCTAGTGCAGTTGCTGGTTTACTGGCTTCTCTCCTCCCCAGTGATCGTGTGGTACTTTTGTGTAACATACTCATTAAGAGGTAAGAGCATTTCTGTCTAATTCAATGTGCCTTCTATTCCTTGCAGTTTTAAGTTTTGTGTCTATCTAAATATCTGTGATGATATTAAACCCAAATACATAGTTCCTGGTAAGGAAGAAATTGTAACTCAAATAAGATGAAAATGGTAGTCCTCTGCCTCTTAATACTATTTATAATAATTACCTTTATGGTTGTTGATTGTTCATTTGATTCAAATGTCTCAGTCAATTTCTTCCTAATGAAATTTAGTTTTGGCAACCCTTTCATTTAATTTAGTTGGTGGGAGGGTTTGAGTTGCTTTGGTGTTGCTGAATAGTATGTTTATATCACTTGCAATTGAGAACAAGGTCTAGATATGTGGGTACTGTTAAACCATTACAAAATATCTATTATACATTCTGGGATGGTAACAGCTTTTAGGTATACTACCTCATTTCTGCAAGAGGTGGATGCTATTCAAGCATAATTGATTTGCTTCAACCTTTAATCGTGAGAGAGCATTAAAATTCTACTGTTATTTGTGCCTCTTGTTAAGCTGCAATTTTCTCTCTGTTTGTCTTGTTAGTGAAGGAAGTAGAAAACTTGGTCCAATTTCAAAACAGGATTTGATGCAGTTTTGTAATCTTTAACAAACTGAATATTGGATGTTTTCTTTACTTCTTAATCAGAATTAATATCATCTCATGGTTTTGTTGCTGTGGCCTCTAATTTTTTTTAACAGGTATTTTGTCTTAAAAGCAAGTGATTTGGAAGAATGGTACCAGAACCCAGAGGCCTTTCATCACGAGCAGGATTCAGTATTGTGGTCTGAGAAATTAAGGCCCTGTGCTGAAGCTCTATACATTGTTCTTTTCGAAAATCATAGCCAAGTAGGTGCATTTCAGTCTCTTTGTTTAGCTCACAATTACTCGGCACCCTGTCTGTTTTTTCTAAAGCATTTTTTTTATATTCCTGAGATGTGCAGCTGCTAGGTCCTGTTGTTGTTTCCATTCTTCAGGAAGCGATGAATGGCTGCCCTTCTTCAGTAAATGACATAACTCAGGCATTGCTCCTCAAGGATGCTGCTTATGGTGCGGCAGCATATGTTTATTATGAGCTTTCTAATCATCTGAGCTTTAAAGACTGGTAAGTACTTTTCCTGCAGCAATGTTTGGGACCATATGCTTGTTGCTTGGCTGCAGGATGTGTTTGTTGTGAACAATGTATCCTATGCAAATGTCTAAAATCAAGCTATGAATGAGAATTTGAAGTGTTGTTTGATTGCAAATTTTGCATGTAAAAACCAGTTTGGACACTGTTGTAAGAGCATGACATAGTTTATTAGCCTATTCTATCCTGTATTGGGTATTTGAATGTAGAGTAATTATGCATTTGACTTCTTGTATGCAAATATGTGAATAAATACTCTTCAGTTTTTTTTGCTTTTTAACTCTCTTCTTGTCATTAATCTACAGTCATATCCTTTGCATTTTAAGTTTTGTTTTCTGTTGTCATAGTTTTAAAATGATAGCTTCTACAATTATTGTAATGTTAAGCATGTGAGAATGAACCAATATACATGTATAATGACATATAAGCAGACATCTCAACAAAAATATGAGAGAGAAAAAACTCACCATAAAGAAAAAACCTGGGACAGCCTCCCTGATTATGTGGAAACAGTTTGTTCCAAACATTCTCTCAAGTTAAAGGTTCTTAGTCAGTGTCAGCACTTTAGGTTAGTTTATTTGGCGAAAGAACTCGCAATGTTCTTGGTCTGCAAATCTGACTTTTTTGCCCTCTTCCTCTTTGCTTCTTTTTTATCCTCTGTGGGGACAGTTTATGTTTTTCTTTTTTTGGGGGAACGGGGGAGGGATGGCTATGGGCTAAGTTGTTTCTCCTGTACTCCTAACCAACCGAAATATTAGCTAATGCTGAAAATTACAAATTATTATTATTATTAAGAACCAATCATTGATACAGTCAGACCATTACATGCTTGTGTAAGCAACATGATGACAGGTTCTGGGAAATAGATTGGCTAATTCTATTTGCTCTTCAAATGTATTGTTATTTCATTCTCTTGTATGCTGTAGTTAACTCAGTATTAAAAATTTCTTAGTAACCCTGTATGGTGATTTTATGACTTCACATTCCTTGAATTTGTGATGTAGGTTTCAATGGCCCACTATCTCTAGAACTTTCAAATGATTGTAGCCTTTAAGGTGATTTTGTGACTTGCCGTTCTTTCAAAACTGTTTGTAGGTTCAATGGTGCACTATCTCTAGAACTAACAAATGATCATCCAAATATGCGCATCATCCATCGGAAAGTGGCATTAATTCTTGGGCAATGGATATCAGAGGTAATATGACGCTCTTTGTAGATTCATGTGCAAGTATGCAGTCATTGTGCTGGATGAGCTTGGCAATATAACCTGGTGTATAGCAGATGTCCTGTTATGCTAGAGTTGATCAATCAACTCTCAAGGAAATTTCTTTGAATCTTTCTACAAGTGATTGTAGTATTTTATGGGCTTGAATTAGTAGAGCATATACTGAATGCCATTTACGTTGTTTGTATCATGGTATAATTCAGCGTCTGACAATGCATCTGTAGTAATTTATGGGCTTGAATTATTATAGTAGATGCTGATGCCATTTGCTTTCTTTGTATCATGTTATAATCCAGCATCTGACAATGAATATCTAATGATAATTTGTTTGCAGATAAAAGACGACATGAGAAGATCAGTGTATTGTGCTTTGATCAAATTGCTTCAGGACAGAGATTTGTGTGTCAGGGTATAATGCAGATTGTACCAAGTCCTATCTCCTTGTGCCTGTCTTTATCCCTTCTATGTTTTATAATTGTTCTCTAATTTCAGATTTTCCCAATCTGTCATTGATAACTTTTTCTGGTTCATAATTTAAGCTGGCTGCATCCCGATCTGTATATTTTCACATTGAAGACGCGAATTTCTCAGAGCATGACTTTTTAGATCTTCTACCGGTGTGCTGGGATTTATGTTTCAATCTAATGGAGGAAGTACAAGAGTTTGACTCAAAGGTACTTTAAAGCTTCTTCTCAAAAAAGTGCACATAGCTATAACGTGAAGGTCAAATTGTGCTCTTATTTCTCTCGCACTAATTGTCCTGCCAATTTTTGCTTTCTTCTGATTGTAATTGCTAATTTTCTTGGTTTTCCTTCAGCAATAATGAAATATTGTTGTATACTGGCTTATTAAGTTCCAAGAATCTGATCCATTTATTGCCTGTGGGTATTGCTTTCTTTGTTTTCTTTGATATGCAATGGTATCAATTAGTTAATGCAACTGTCTCTTTATTAAAGCCGACTGCATTGTTATGGCAGAAGAAAAATACAGTGCAGTATATGGCTGCTTGCTTCATGTATCCACAACCTGATTTTGGGGCAAAAGTAGTTTCATGTTTAAATCAGATTAAATAGACAGTACCGAGATGTTAGCTTAAAATGGAAGCAGCCTGGAATAGTTTTGGGACTTTTCATGTTCTGTTGTTGGATATGCCTTCTGCTTATTTCTAAATTTGCATATTTATATAGATGTCATCTGTTTGACAGAACTTTTTTCTTCATTCTCCACCTGCCTATCTCCTATCTCTCCAGGTTCAAGTTTTAAATACAATCTCTGTCCTTATTGCGCATGTGAATGCGGTTATCCCATACACAAATAAGTTGTTGCAGTTTTTCCAGAAGGTAAATGTTACTGTTTATGGCTACTTTGGCGCTGACTGATAAATTTGGCTCCATTAGTGTCATGGTTAGTAGAATTGGGTTTGTGCACTTGTGCTTGTGCCTTTTGATGTCCCTGCACCCTCTCTGTAAGAAAATTCTGGGGTTGGGGAAAAGAAAAATGAGAGATGGAGAAGATAACTACTATTAATTCCTAAAGGGTTCAAATTTTCTTGTTATCCACTTGGTATTTTGCATACTTTATGAAGCAGAATCCGTTATTCTCGCTGCTGCAATAACCCAGCCAAAAATATTCAACAGCTACTTCCCTGCAATTCCCTGCAATTTGTTTGTGAATTTTGCATCCTGGGGGATGTTTGATGTTTTACTAAATTGACTTTATTCTACTTTTTGACTTATTGCATATATTAATTAGGCCTGGGAGGAATCTTCTGGTGAAAGTCTTCTGCAGATTCAGCTTCTTTCTGCATTAAAGAACTTTGTATGTGCTCTTGGTTATCAGTTACCTATCTGCTACAACATGTTGCTACCAATTTTACGAAGTAGTATTGATGCAAATAGCCCAGATGAACTTCTTGAAGACAGCATGCAGGTCAGTGATCAAGTGATTCTGAATACTTCCCCTAAAAGGTTCGCTAGCATTTAGTTCAATTCATCCTACTAACTTCATTGTGTCTTTAAGCAGTTATGGGAAGCCACAATCTCACATGCTCCATCAATGGTACCTGAGCTATTGGGATGTTTCCCCTGTCTGGTGGAGATATTAGAGAAAAGTTTTGACCATTTAAAGGTTTAGATGGGAATTAACTTTGTCTTGTATTTTTGCTGTTTCTTTATGATATTGCCTTCACTCTTCATCTCAAAAGCAGGTTGCCGCTAATATAATCGAAGGGTACGTGATATTGGGTGGAAGTGATTTTCTCACTATGCATGCATCAAATATTGCTAAACTTCTTGATCTGGTTGTTGGGAATGTCAATGATAGAGGGTTGCTCTGTATTCTTCCAGTTGTTGACATTTTAATTCAGGTATTTGATATACATTTCTGACTGAATTTTGAACTTTTCCTTGTAGCATGGTGAAAGACGTTCACCTGCTTTGTTTTCTGTGTTTGCATGGCATGGGTGCTGACTTGTGTCCAACAATATGCAAACTGTAGTGTCTCTCATACAGGCGCACATAGTAAGGACTGATGAGGTAGCTTAATGCTACAATGCATACCATTGTAGAAGATTGCTTTTTGTTAATGAAAATTTACTGATTTTTTTGGGTTTTTTTTTGTTGTTTTTTTTTGGGGGGGGGGGGGGGGTTCAACATAAATTCATTTATTTGTTTAGAGCACCTGCAATAATTAACTATAAATAAATCTGAGGAAGGTCAAGCATATATTTCTCGATCAATCATTGTTACCTCACAAGTGTATGTAGATCTTTTGTTCTATAGTTGAGAATATTAAGGTAAGAAAACAAGTATGAAGTTTAACTTATGTTGTAATTGGTAAGTTGCTCAAGAAAATGGTGTATTGTATAATTGCTGAAATGAGAGTGTTGCTGTTATGGGCTCTATGCTTCCTAATCCAGAAGGTCAAATAGATTATGTTTAGTTGTGAAAAATTACGTAGAAAAATATCTGAACTTTAGGAAAGTTGCATACAGCACGAAGTGTTCTTTACTACTATAATGTATAACATTCAGTTCCCCTAATATTTTTCTGAGAAAAATCTAATTGCTTCTGCACATTGGCAGTGTTTCCCAGTTGATGCTCCACAGTTGATCAGCTCCACTCTGCAGGTGGTTCCTGTTATATGTCTATATCTTTTCTAGTTTTTCATAATCTCCTTGATGATTTCTATTAATTTTTTTGAGAGACAGTCTTGAAAACTTGAGCATATTTCTTGGTGTCACCAGAAACTAATCTTAACATGCTTGACTGGAAAAGATGATCATGATCCTTCTCGGACAGCTGTAAAGGCGGCTTTGGCAGCTATACTTGCAAGGACATTGGTCATGAACACCAATTACCTTGCGCAGCTAACATCAGAACCATGGTTAATCTTGCATCTGCAAAGAGCTGGTCTTTCAGTTGAAGAAAATATCCTTCTATGCCTGGTAGACTTATGGCTTGACAAGGTTTGTTTATCTGAAAACTTATAATGCCTATAAATTTGCATTATTATGCATGTTTAGCTTCTAAATTTCTTCAGAATATCAGCTTGCATTTGATTTGCTGTGTTATGCACAAGGGGAGCTCTTAGGTTATGGTCTTTAATGTAGATTCGAGGACTTGTAATACCTAGCACGTCTAATACGAACAATGACGATAACAATAACTTGAATCCCTTCCCACTTCTTAAATCTCACCCTTCCCCTGATGATGTTTTTTCTTTTTTTTTTTGAAAGTAACTATAACTCAATATTATTAATCTCTATACCATTGATATGAAGATGTTCAATCGAGTTTGCCATTTCCATGAGGACCCAATTTCATCATTGATTACTGTTCTTTAAACAGAGTTCTAGATAGTTGATCAATTAACTGTTGTTTTTTCATTGTTAAAGGTTGACAACGTAATTTCAATTCAGAGGAAGACATTGGGTTTAGCCCTCTCTGTAGTTTTGACTCTGCGGTTGCCTCAGGTATTAGATAGGCTTGATCAGATCCTAAGGTAAGCAATGAATTGTAAACATTTGATTACCTGTTATCTCAATGTAGTATGACCCTTTTAATCATGCAGTGCTCATTTATATTGTGTGGCAGTGCATGTACAAGTGTAATCTTGGGTGAGAGTGAGGACTTAACAGAAGAAGAGTCCAGGTTTGATTTTCCAGCATCCTATATTTAAATTTCCATGACAGTTCAATTGTATTAGCTTTGATCCTCCCAGAAATGGCATGATAATTTATCTCGTTTCTTTTGTGTGTTCTAAATTGTTACATGCAACAATAGCAGCGATATTAGCTCTGGCCAGCCTCATGTCCCAAGCAGAGAGTTCAGGAGGAGACAGGTAAACATAATTGGTATTTACTTGAAGGTGAGGATTTTACTAGTAGGAATTATTTCTTGCTCATCCGTTGTTTTTCTTTAGATCAAACTTTCAGACCCAATTAACTTAGTATCACTGGAGAACTCGGTGAGAGAGAATCTTCAAGCATGCGCTGCTCTTCATGGAGAGGCATTTAATTCAGCTATTGGTAAAATGCATCCTGCAGCCCTAGCCCAATTGAAGCAAGCATTGAAAATGTCATAAGCTAGAAGCTAGATTGGATGTTTCAGGCTGGGGCCTTTTATTATGTGAGGGGTCTACATGCTTTCCATGATCCCCAAAAAGCTGAGGACAGTATAGGTACTTGTCATCTGCAAACCTAATGCTAATGTAGCCAAGCCTTGCATGAGATACCGACATAACCTATATGCATATATAGGGATTGCACCATTTGGTTTAAGGTCTCACGCTTGTCATTTTCACTTGAAAAGATTAACTCTTTTGTGGTTTTGAACTCCTATAAATATAGTAACTGCCACAGTGAATAATATACATGCTAACATGCGAAAAACTTTCCTAATATGTAACATTTCATTTTGATAAATTTTAGTTATTTTTGATAGTTGCATCCGCAAAATTTTATTTTTCCTCTTCTATTGCACACAAATTGGGCGTGTCATAAGAACTAGTTGAAATAATTCCAGGTGTTCAAGGTTCAAAATCTTGCAAGTTGAACTTCGAATAAGTGAACGGAATAAATGGTGGATTAATTTATATTTTTTCATTCAGAGTAGGGCTCAAAATAAAATCATATCAAACTATGCCTATCCTGTGGTCTCCATTTACTTTATTCCTATAATCCTAATAAACTCTTTGGTCAATTTGTTGGGTTCGACCTCTTATCATGGAACATATGCTTGGTTTATGCTTCTTGTTAAACTGTACTCAAATCTTAAATGAGTATAAGATACAAATTTCCAACTTGTGTTTGTTACGCCCTACGTGGTGCTCTATTTCTATTAGTTAGTTTTTCTAACATTAAATCCTCCTTTTGCACAGGTTTTGAAAATACTCGAACTTCCAGATTGTGAGTGCTCTGCAATGAATTCGTATTTAGATAATATTGTTTTGCGGATAGGCTTGTTATCCATTAACGAGAGTCACTGCAGCATGGTAATCATTCTGTTCATTATCCTTTTTGTCATCCATTCATGCATGTTTTTTTCGAGGCATGAGGATCAGAATCTGTAGGGCTGACCAGGTCTGCATGCTCGTTCATGGCAGATGTACGGTAATTGAGGGTAAATGATTGAATTTGTGGGGCTTTCAGGTGATGTGCAAGGCTTTTTTCTTCCCCTTTTTTTTTTTTTTATAAAAAATAGTTTATGTAAATGTATGTACGAGGCTTTTGCTCATTCTTTCTCCATTAAGTATGAAGGAAGGGAGTCATTTTGGAACGTTTCTGTGCATTATCAGGTGTTGGTTCTGCCACGTGGGATTCCAGTTATGTGCATATTTTGTGTGCCGAAGTTGAGTCATCTGATTTCGTGCTTTTTGTGTTTCTTTTCCAGTTTTCCAAAGGGAAAAAAAAAGTACCGGAATAACAGTTTTGGATGTGGTTGGATGATGCTTGTTTAATAAAAAAATCTGAAAAAAAGGTTCATTTTGATTGCACATGTTTTATGTGACGTTAAAACTTGCTTATAAATTATGCTAATCTGCATTACACAAACTATATGACTTTAACTCTGCACCCTATTAAACACCCATTTTTGAAGAAAAGAAAGTATCGTACAAGAGTATCTTTATGCATACATACATACATGAACGCATTTGGATATGCTCTTGGACGTCTTAGCGCTAATTATGCGCAGTTACGAAGCCACCATAGCTCTCACACACAAAAATCAAATGCTATTTTGTTGTTCCTAGTTTCTATCAGTTTAGTCGATATTATACAATTTAGGCTTCAATCTTAGGAGGCTAATATTAATTATTAGGGCTTAATATAAAAAAGGAAAAATCAAGCTAAATATAGCTCACACATAGCAAAGTTTATTCTGTTGTCAACAATTTCTATCTATTCATTTAATATCATGATTTTGCCTTAAAAATGATAGATGGCAAACGTTGCTTATATCTCTAATCGATATGATTCACATTGCACTTAAAATATATATATGCCCAGGATTGACAGAAGAAGTCACTTCTCATCCAAAATTCCATTTCAACTTCCAGAAAACTATTACGATAGCAGATCGAAGCATAAACACAGAAAAGATACAACACCACAAGCCACTGAGGAAAAGAGACTTCCCAATGACAAAACTATACTTTACTGTATCATATATGTGTATTTTGAAAAGGCGTATTCTTTTTATCCAATTTTGCAAGTCTAGCAACTAGGTAAAAGTTTTAGAACCTTTTTGATTGTAGACTGTCTTTTTGCATTTCCAATCACATGCACGAGGACATGTGTCACCATGGCTTACTGCACATGTTGAAGGACAAGATCATATACTTCCCCTGCTGCAAAGAAGTCTAATTTTCAAAATGGTCTGTCCATATACCAACATTCAATTCCAAAGATCTCTAACGTCATAGCTCCTGAAGTACTCTTCCAATCTGGGTTAATATAATACATTCAGTTTAAATGACAATGGGACGCTATTCGGGATATAGCACTAAATTCCAAAAATTATCTGGGCTAAACTAGCATTTAGAAAAATGTGTGGTTAACCAGGACAGCATAAAGGATTAGCATCCCCTATCAGAGTAACTATGACAAAAGCTTCATATGGAAGTTAATCCATTGCTTATTCAAAGTGATCATCATCTAGGGGAAAAAGAATTTAAGAAATAACAGATATAATTGTGCTTGATGCTGACAGAGATGTCCTTTCTTCACCTAACGAGGGCAAAAAGAATAATTTCAAAATGGCAGAATAACACTTGGATTCCTGACCAAACAATACAGGATGAAAATGAAACCCAATTAAACGAAAGCCCCCCTTGAAGTTTACAGTGCAAGACGCCTTCCCTTTTTCTCAGGCCTGAGCCTGACAAGCCTCAGAGCAACTTCAGCAGCAGTTATATCAGCTGCTCTTCCAGTCACCGGTTTTTCATGTACAATTAGTATGCTACACTAGCATTTAATCGTGTGCGTTAATAACACAGACACAGAAAGATAAGTACCATAGTGGAATTGTTTACAGAGAGGAGGGGGGGGGAGGGGAGAAAATGTGGCGAGGAAAGTAACTGCAGACGAACTCGGCGGCGGATTCATATTTGGTGACCAATTCAAGAGAGGTGAGATCCAAATCCCTCTCCGTCTCACCTCTTTCATCATCCGGAAACATCCCCCTCAAACTAACTTCTACTGCTCTTTGTATAACTAACATGCATCTACCTAGAGATTTTTCCACGGAGCTACAACCAAAGAATAAATAAGAAAAGAAGGGGATTGGGATTTGATATTATTATTAGCAGAGGTGCCGCGCATTGGCCACAGCTGAGGTGTTTGCTAATCTGTGTTATATACTGTAAGCCTGTGAGGTTGTAACTACTCTTCTTCCCTCTTCATGGGGCGGGCAACTGCGGATTAGGGTTTCGTTGGTGTATTCTTTTTTATTTATTTTCCTATCTATTCTTTGGGTTTAATTACAACAAGACCCTTAAACTTTTTTTTTTGCCCCAATTTCACCAATCCCCTCTGTATTGTTGATTTGTTTCTCATTTGTCAAGAATGAATTTAATATGTGAACAATTACTTATTTGGTATTTGTTAGAGCATGTGATTGGAAAAAGAGTGGAAAAAAATCCTCCACTTTCTTGGAGAGACGTGCCTCTCTCGTTTTGTCGTGTATAAGACAGTTGTTATATCCAAATCGGACTGGCTGATTCGATAGGTCCGATCATAAATTAGCCTTCTTTTTAAATTAATTTATAGTATAAAATTGCTTTGATTAAAAATCAGTCAAAATTATCAGAAATTAGTTAAATCAGTGACCTGATTCGATTGATTGATCATGTTCGCAAACTTTTATTTCTTCTTTTTCTCAAATATAATTTGAATTATCTAAATTGTAACACATTTATTTATTAATAAGAATAAAAAAACGCCACCCACTTAGTGTAAATTCCAAAATTACTCGCTTTCTTAAATGATTTCTAAATCAAGATATTTCATCCTTATGATCTTATCAAATTAGTATCAATGATTTCAACTTGTATTAATTTGTTTTAATTTAGTTTTTCAAGTAGTTTTGGTGAATGGACATATTTTATCCATGGACTTGCATTTTTAGATATAATTATTAGGTGTAAATTTGATTGCAAGTCTAATATTTTTGAAACATTATTTATGATTGGTCGAATATAACCAAGAACTTAATTTCAATATTTATAAAACTTATAAAAATATAAAATAATTATGACATCATACTGACGTTAACGAGTTTTTGTGAACGATCCAATCGATTCGATCAATTAACTCCTAACCTAATAGTTTAGCGGAGTCGCTATTTAGTCTGAGTTTAATAACATTGGCATAAGAATTAGATTGATATGTAATCAGAGAGCTATCTCTCATTAAACATTTTTGTGAGAGTGCTTATAGTGTAACCAAGCAAGGGAAAAACTCAAAAAAAAAACTCGACTATTTATAAAACCTTAATTGCGCTGCTCCCCGTTCTTAAGACAAGTATCCATTGTATTTGTAAAATTGATCCCTGCCAATTGAAGTAATTAAAGATGGCCAAAATTTTAGACTAGAGCATCTCACTGGGATAGATTAGGCACAAAACTAGCTGGACTTAGGTGCACTAAAGGAGAAGTGTAACGCTTCATTATTTACAAATCTAGAATGTACCGTAGTGCACCTGGTCGAGAGGTGTGTTCTCGCCGTTCAGTTATGGCCTTCCTTTCTCTCTCAAGTGTAAGTGTAAGGGTAGGGGAGATGACAATATCAAGAGTTTGGTTTAAGAGAGGCAATGAATGAAATTAAACCAAACTGTATTTAGTTTTCTAATTCTTTTTGGTGTCTCGTTTGTCTAGTTTCCATATTAGATTAAGAAATCTCAAATCAGTTTTCAAATAAATTTTAGTTTACAATTATATTTGTTTTAGTAAGTTTTGAAGCTTATTAATACTATCAATCTAGTAGGTTATTATTTAAAAAATTGAGTTAAATTTTACAAATAGATTTGAGACAAAGTCTCATAGTTGAGATTTGTGAGTTATCGTAAGCAAAAAGTTACGACTTGATATTGTTATTGTTTTGTTGGGTTTTGAATTAAACAAAATTATTAAGGAATTTGTTGAGTTTTAAAGTAAAATGCCTCAATTAAGTTATGGCTAAATACTGATAAAAATTTAGTGTATGATTAAACTTTAAAACTGAATTTCAATTTTAACTGATAAATTTATTGGACATTGAAAGAGATATATGCTTACAGGTGAAAGGGCAGGTTGAGATCGATTTCATTGATATATTGTAGAGTATTAATTCTGTATTTGACAATTAATGGATGTTAGCATGTGTGTTGTATGTATGTATGAACTTTGTGTACTGATCGATAAGAAGCAATTTAGGGAAGGGAAGCGAAGGGAAGGGAAGGGTCCTATTTGTAGTAACTCAAGACTTGGAGCATTAATTGGATCGCATGTAGAAATAATTAGTACGAGGTGAAGGCATATAATTAGGGAAATTTGTCAAATTGGTTCCTAACATTTACACAAAAAAATATTTTTAGTTCCTAACATTTAAAATTAGTCAGAATAGTCCCTAACATATAAATTATGATCCATTTTGGTTCTAATACTCGTATTTGCTCATTTCTTCCACTAAAAATAGCATGCATTTTTCACGTGGACATATTTTCAAGGGCAAAATCGAAAAACAGACTTGATTTCCCTTCTAAAGTAAAAATACATCGGACCACCACCCCCCATTCACCTTTTCCCCTCAAATTACAACCACAAGAAAATATGCCCATCTCCAAAATCATCAAAATTTGTCGAAACTACTGCAGAGACAGCAGCCAGAGTGCCTAATCAACTCATGCCTATCTAAATTCAGCTGGAGCCAGCACTTAAGAATCAGATCCCCGAAATTGACGATCAAGGGTTGAAACAAGTGATTAAGGCCCCATTTGACACATCCATCAGAAGTCTCAGGATGTTAATAGGGGAAGCTGATCAAGATCTGGTCTCAGAAGTTTTCTTCAAGAAAATGAAGGAAACTGAATTATTTGCCGACATGAAATTGGACTCGCCCAACTCCAACAACAGCAACAACAGCAGCCACACCGCTAGGGGAATCAAGCCTCAAATTGACGCGGGTGCTTTTCAGTTGGAGGAGAAAGCAAAGGCCTATAAAAATGCTGGCGAGACTCTGGAAACAACCAAGATTTCCTCACCAAGACAGAAAATTGACCCAGAAGGAAAGATGATCAAGAAAAACAGCAACAACATGGATGACGCTGACAATCAAAGAGAGGTTAAGTGGGAAGAGAATCATGGTGGGCTGAATATACTAAAATGGAGTTTAACCAAAATAAATGCTATTTGTTCTTTTGGTATTGTCATAGTTTGCATCTTGTATTCGGAGGTGTCTGAAAGAATAAGCAGAAGCAACAACAACAACAACAGAAGATTCAATTCCACATTTACAC